ACTGACGTCGCAATGGCACGAGGATTACGAGAAACAGACCATTAGAAGATGATGGAGAATCGGATATTGCTATATATAACAAGGAACTTGAGGAACGAGGTCAACTCGTTTGGTTCAATGCTCCGTGGCTCTTCACTGAGTGCTATCTCTGTTTGTGATTTCCCGGACATTCAGTACATACCAGTGGTTTTTGGAGCAGTTCGAGCCTGAAAAGCTGACTTCGAGAAAAGATCGACGAATAAACCTGTTGTTCTCCCTCTCAACACACTGGAAAACGTACGATATATTCGCACGACAGAAGATGTCCACATTTAAATCATCCCGCCCAGCCGTCCTAGAATTGGCCGCAAAATACAAGGAGCTTATCCAACAAATCGAAAGCGGCGAAGGAGGCCAAGGCAAGGGACTAGAACAAATCGAGGAAGCGGAAAGGCTGCTCTTCATGGAGATGTGCGAAATCTGCCTTTGGGGGAACGCCACCGATCTCTCTCTCTTGACTTCCCTCACATACGAAGATATCCAGAAACTTCAAGGTGCCAAAGCACGCAAGGCTGCGGAGGAGAACATCCTTATTAACGACCTCCCGGCTGCCTTTACGATATTAAACTCTGCCAAGAAAGCCAGACCCTCGGAAGAGCGCCGCGTCGACATCGTCCTTGATAATGCTGGGTTCGAGCTCTTCGTCGATTTGATCTTAGCTGGTTACCTACTCTCTGCAGGCCTCGCAACAACAATCGTGCTTCACCCTAAATCCCTCCCCTGGTTCGTCTCCGATGTGCTACCCAAGGACTTCATGGACCTCATCTCCGCTCTCGCAGACCCGCAAGCCTTCTACACATCACCGGACGAAGCTGGAGACCCCAAAGCCAACGGCAACAATGCACAAGCCCTTTCTGAGCGGGAAGTAGAAGAACTCAAGTTCCTGTTCCAGCAATGGAGCAAATTCCATGAAGAGGGAAGACTGATCATCCGGCCAAACCGCTTCTGGACCACTGCGTCTAGTTACTGGCGGCTCCCGCACGAGGCGCCCGAGCTGCTGGAAGATCTAAAGGCGAGCGAATTGGTGATTTTCAAGGGCGATTTGAATTACAGGAAGTTAGTTGGTGATGTACGTTTCGAACCACCCTCCCCGGTGTTCCTGAGCATAAGAACGCGTACCCCATACACCCCCTTCTAGTTCCGGGTATGGGTTCACATACAACTAACAACGCACGCCAAATCATAGGCCCAGTGGCCCCTTACTACTCCGTTCACCACCGCAATCGGCCCGCTGGGGCCTTCATCAGGTATCCGTGTCTTAGCACTCCGCACTTGCAAAGCAGATACCGTTGTGGGTTTGCCGGAGGGCGAAGATGAGCGCCTCCGCGCATTGTCTAATGGCGGTGGGGAGAAGGAGCGCAAGTGGGCTTGGGGTGGGAAATGGGCGGTCGTTTCGTTTGCGGACGGGAAGGCTTGAGAGCTTGGTTTATAGGCAAGGTTATATCGACTCATAGAGCTAGGTTTGCTAGGGATGATATGAGTGACGAGGAGAGGAGCTGTTTCCGTCATGTGATATAATAGATAGACATAATAACCATGGATGGATACCCCATTTTAAAATTGATTGAATAGTGTTCAGATATTCATCCGGCCTCTCCACCCTCGCGCAGGGTAGTTTTGTGTCTGGCTATCACAAACACTGACTTTAAAAGAAAAATAAAATAAAATAAAATAAAATAACCTGCATTGGTCTGGGAGAAAAGTCAAGAAAATTCACCACTTTTACCCATCCATACATGAGAATTATGGTTTGATATGATATGCAAGGCTTTTTTATTGTGTATCTATGTAGCCACAATCTACGCATACATTTCTACCAAGCCCGAAAAACAAAGAATGACAAAAAGTAATAGCGATCCACAAACACCACTCAACGCTCATGGGGTGCTGCGCATCCTAGTAGTAGCCTTAAATAATAATAATAGTTGAAAAGAAAAAGGGAAAGGAAGGGGAAAAGACTCCACGAAAACTACATCAACCGGGTATATAGAAAATCCTGGCCAGTACCCCTTTGACGTTAAAAAAAAAAAAAAAAAAAAAAAAAAAAAAAAAAAAAAAAAGAAAAGAAACCAAATAACAAAACCCAATCCAACATCAAGCCTTTAGTCCTGTCACCAGTCCCCTAGCACGCCCACTAAAACAAAGACGAGAAAGAGGAATGCAAATCAAGCTGACCAAACATTTTCTTTCCCCTCAGCGTTTACCCTTTTCCTCTGATCCCTGAGTTTGAGTCGCCTCATAGCTGCCGCCACTCTATCCGCTGGAAGTGAATCACGTTTTAGGCTCGCGGGACTATTAGGGGAGTCACTGCCGCGGAGTATAGACTCCTCTCGCTGGAAGGGGACCTGACGATTAGTCGCCGTGGCCGCTGCAGCCTTGGCAGAGGTCCTCGAAAGCACACGGGTCCCGCTGACTTTCCGTCTGAGGTGACTTTGATACTGACTTGAAAGTCTTGCCGGAGGGTTTGTCGGGTTTGAAGATATATGGACCATCGAGGGTCTTGGGGACAACGCTGAACGCGCTTGTAGACGTGGTCTTGGCGTTCGCTTGTCAGGTGAGGACACCGGGCTGTTCTCCAATGATGGAAGGGTAGGTGGTGAAGAGGGCGGGACCGGGGGATTATCTCGATAAGGAAGAGTTCTGGTAACGCGATTTTTGGGCAGAGCAGGAGAATCTTCCAAGTTGGTCGTTGGCTCGTTGTGGTCCTCACTGCAGTCAATCAAAGTGTCTGTTCGACGCCGCGTAGTGCGCTCAGGTCTAGTCCCATGTCGCTCAAACACGTGTGGTTGGGGTTCGATCGCATCAACATGTTCGTTAAGGGTGTTTCGAAAGCTGTCGCGTCTAGGATCACTTGCATTTTGGACAAGGTCTTTTCTGGGGCTTTCCGCCTTTATATCTTTATAACCCTGGGAAATTCGAGTTCCCGATTCAGTTCCTTTGCGAGAGTCATACTTCCCATCTTGCCTATCCACTGTGTCATGCTCACGTTTCATATCCGCAGCGTTTGGCAATACTTTGATTTCACCTTTCCGCCTAACACTGCCATGAGAAACGTTTTCCACAAGTGATATATTGTGACGGAGCGAGTCGATAATATCCTGCATGTGTTGCTTTTCTTCGGTAAAGGATTGTTTTAAAAATTGCTCCGCTTCTTGGTGGTGTTGCTTCGCCTCATCTAAACGGTTCTTGTACTCCTGAACTCGGTCCTGCAGCTTTTGCTCTTTCTGCCTTAGCCTCGCTTCCTTAGCTTTCCGCCTGTCCTCATAGCTCGTCATCTCCTCCTTGAACCTGGCGAGACTCAGTTTCAATGCCTTGTTCTCTTTTTGAAGTTCGATGGCTTTACGTTCTGAACTCTCAGCTAGGCCTTGAAGCTTCTTTGTATTCAATTTGTTATTTTCTAACGCCTCGAGCTTGGAATTAGCCAATTCAAGTGCCTTTTCCGTTTCCCGGAGTTTTTGGCAAACGTCCTCTGAGGCTGTATTATGTTCTTGAGACTCGCCATCGCTGTCTATCATCCCGTGTCGCTCTAGAGCCTTCCGTAGCGAATCTGCTTTGCGCTTATACTGTACAGCTAAGGCTGTCTGTTCGGATAGCTCTTTAAACATGTCTTTATTTGACCCCGTTTTGTTCGTGCCGTCTACCATTCCAGCTGCAAGCTTAGAAACGTGAAGCTCCATTTCCGAAACTTTGGCCTCTTCTCGTTTCAACTTTTCTGATAAACGCCGCATTTCTAAATCCTTTTTCTTCGCGTAAGATTTCGCAACTGATCGGTATTGAATCAGCTTTTTAATCTCTCGTTCAGTTTTCGCCCTATAACTATCGAATTCAGATTTCCAATATATCCCTGACTGTGAATGTGGCTCGTCAAGATTTGTCGTCACATCGTCTTCGCTTTCGTCTTCATACCTATCCTTGGGTGGATCTTGATTCCCCTTGGGCCTGGAGGTCTCCTTAGCAGGTGAGTGAGGTTTTCGATCCATAATATCGAAAAGCTCGTCATTTTCATTTCGTTTCCTTTCTTCACCTGATTTTTTGCTCCGAGCCTCGATGAGAGATTTGGTGAGCTTGCTGCTTTTTTTACCGCTTCCCTCGTGTAGTTTGCCTGTCCATTGCCGGCTTATATTACCATTATACGCAGTCGATTCGAAGGGAGACTTCTTTCGTTCATTGTCCACAACTCCTTCACCAAACGATACAGTCTTCCGTCGCGTCGCTGCAGTTCCTGGTGTGAGCAGAATGCTCTTTGTGGGGGAAGCCATCGGCGGTGCAGGTTCATCTGACTTTCGAAGGGATGGTTGCAAATCTAAAGGGCCTGGATTTTCTTTTTTTGGAGGCATATGTATATCAGTGCCCTTGCGATTGACGGTGGGCTTTAATGATTTAATTGGAACTGTAAGCTCGTCGTCGGTGGCATCGGGGCCTGGCGTGCCCACAAAGGCACTTTTGAATGCCCGAAAAGCAAATAAAGGAGCGGGGGTTTCTGGAGCTTCCTGGACTTTGGAATCGTCTATCGAGAGTGTAAACAATTAGCAATTGGAGCTTGAAAGGAAATTTCTTGTTGGCAGGAAGGCGTATAGAGGCGGTGTGGAACGAACATACCTGCAAAGCCGGTGTACTCACCGCGTGCGGAACCAGCCAACCAGCCTAACATGTTGGCAAAACGGCTGGAAGTTGCTTGAGAGAAGGGGATGCTAAAACTAATGACCAAATATCAGAGAAGCATTGTCCCGTATTGCGCTCACTGGCTTGCCGTTGTGGGAATGCCTAGCAGCTCTCTTGCAACGTTGGGTCGAGTTGGGGTTGGTTTGTTTACTTCGACGTCACTCAACCGGCTGGCGCGTGTAGCGCGGAGAACGCGATGTTTAACTACTGTTTCCGGCTTAGTGTGTCAATTTAGCCGGCCACTGGCGCCGTAAGGGAAAAACATTGTTCCAGTGCACCGTAGACACATCACAACCCAAGACCGCCTTCCATCTTCCCCGCTAACTATGTCAACAGTTAAACCTCAATTTAACGATTTATACCCCGCGATCCTTTCTAATCATGTCTAGGTAGAGGGCTGCAGCTTCGGCTGCATCTTCGTTGTCTACTCTTTCTGGGAGCAACGGACATCACGATCTTCTTCTAATGTGTCCTGCATCCATTTCCGAAGTCCGCCATGCCTCACAAACACAAGAAAAGCAATGTCCTGAAAAATGGCGCTCCAAAAGTAGAGAAAAAGGAGAATCCTCCTGAACCACCTGCTGTTCCCCCTACCACTAACTACAAAGAAATTCATGAGAATGAGGCCGACGCCTTGCGCTCAATATACTCGACTGATTTTGAGGATGTAGAAGTCCGACAAGCTGCTTGGCATGTGAGTACCGTACAAAATGCGTTCGCCTTTTTGTATTTACAGATATACGCACATATATATACGGGAGGATGTACTCATGTTCTGGTAAATAGCAAGCGTCTGAAGTAGCTTTCAAATTGCATCTGAGAGCTTCCTCGAATCCGGACGTGCAGGTTGTCTTGTTAGTTTCGCTGCCTGCGACATACCCTAAGACAGTCCCAAATTTGACCGTCCAAGGTCTTGATGACCTCCGGAGAGGAGCTAAATCCAGGATCAAGGATGTGATTGAAACTAAACCAAAAACCCTTCTGGGTTCGGAAATGATCTACGAACTTGCACTATCCGTTCAGGATATCCTCGAAGATGTCGCAATAGCACAAGCCGAGGACAAAGACATACCAAGCCTGGAGGAAGAACGGATAGTCCAGGAAGCCGCAGCAATACAGCAAGCCGAGGAACAAAAGCAGGAAGAGCGGAGGAGGCAGGAACAGGCCACTGCTGCAGAAGAGAAGGCTTTACAAACGCTACTTGAGAGCAAAATTAAGCAAAGACAACGAGCGAAGGAACAAGTGTCGCGACGGAGAAGCAAGGTGGCTTTCGAGGATAGTGAGTCCTTTGACACTGGCCTTGTTTCATTTGACCCACCGTTAGTAATGAATGACTATGATGAACGACCTATTACTTTCCGGTCGGTACTTGGGAAGACATTAATTGCCAGTGCGCCTCACAAGGAGACTTTCACAGTGAGGCCTGTCATTTCTGGAAATGGGGCTCATGTTCCACTCCTCGTCCTTAAACAGCTATTTATTCGGGAAATGGGCTTGGAGCGTGACCTCCGCCAGGAAATTAGGGCGAGCGAAGACAAGCTCGAAATCCTAAAGCGACTGAGACACCCAAATCTGGTTGATTTTATTGGATTTAAGATATATCGCCCTCTTGGCCCCGAGACATCCCACGAAAGCGCATGGCATATTTACACTTTGTTCGAGTATGCTAACAAAGGATCGCTATCTGAGCTGCTTGACATGATCGGGAGTGTGACGGCAGACACCGCAAGGGCCTGGATGTTACAGCTGCTTGATGCCTTAGAGTATTATCATCGTAACGGTATTGTTCATGGCAACATTCATTCTGGACGGGTGTTATTGTTCAGAACCCAGTCCAACAACACCATACTCAAACTTCTAAGTGGTGTGGAGGAATCGCTTCCAGTACCATCAGGAGCGAAGCGAACTTTAACTTCCTCCCAGTCTCCATTTTGGATTCCACCAGAGCTCACACAGAAAGGTTCTCAGCCCAGCACCAAAACTGATGTATGGGATCTAGGGATAGTTTTTCTGCAAATGAGTTTTGGAAAGGACATAATGCAGCGGTATACATCAGCCAACGCTCTTATGAATGCGATCGATCTTTCAATGCCTTTGGAGGAAATGCTTGGGGAGATCTTTAGACCGGACCCTAAAAAACGCCCCACTGCATTCCAAATTCAACCATTCGAGTTCTTTCGAGTCGATGCGCCACTGCTTGAACCATCGGTTGCATCCAATCTAATATCGCTACGAAGACGAAGCCGGCTTGATTCCCAGGGAGCCCTCCCTTCATTTTCTCGGTATGGGCAGGACTTTGATGAGGTTGGGCGCCTGGGCAAAGGAGGTTTCGGCCAGGTTGTGAAAGCGCGAAACAAGCTAGACGGAGGGTTTTACGCAATCAAAAAAATCTCCTCGAAGTCAGGGATCGCCCTCAAGGATACTTTATCCGAAATTATGCTACTATCAAGGCTTAATCATCCATACGTCGTACGGTATTTTACTGCGTGGCTCGAACGAGACTATCATGCTCTTGACGACGAGGCAGTGTCATCCACCGAAGCAAATTCGCGTCATCCTGAAGACGACGTGGATTTCGGATATAGCACAAGTGGACTTGATTTTATAAGCTCAAAGGGGTATCCTGACATAGAGTTTGGGTATGATAGTGATGGGCATGACGACACTGATACGGCATCGGAAGAATCCGGCCACCATAGACAATGGAGCCCATTAAAAACAGATGAAGGCCCAAGCCTTCAGAGGCTGAGATCTGGATCATCATCCCACACTGTGACAACTACGCTTTACATTCAGATGGAATATTGCGAGAAGCATGTAAGCATATTGCCACCCAGGTTGCTCTCCGAGCAAAAATAGGTTAACATATTTCGCTAGACACTCCGCGATTTAATCAGGAACGGATTATATGACGACATTGAGTTTTCTTGGAGATTGTTTCGACAGATCGTGGATGGCCTAAGCCATATCCATAGCCATGGCATTATTCACCGGGATCTGAAACCAGATAATATATTTATCGATGTTGCGAACAACCCGCGCATCGGCGACTTTGGCCTAGCTACGACTGGCCAGTTCACAACGGCAGTTCGATCTTCGAATGCCACAGACATTGCTGGGCATTATACCCGGAGTATAGGAACCACCTACTATGTTGCCCCTGAAATGAAATCTGTGTCGGTCAGCCAGTATAATGAGAAGGTTGATGTGAGTTTTTTATTAAATATTCTACGCCTACGAAAATTATACCCGAATGGAATAATACTGATGATAGTAGATGTATTCACTTGGCATTATATTTCTCGAAATGTGCCATCCTCTCAAGACGGCGATGGAGCGCGATCACACATTGCAGAACGTGAGAAAGAAGGTTCATACGCTCCCCTCAACATTCGAGGTACCAGAGAGGGCCATACAAGGAGAAATAATTGAGTCCCTCCTGAGCCATCGTCCAAGTGAACGACCCACTGCGGCAGAACTTCTCCAAAGCGGCAAAATACCTCTACAGGTTGAAGAAGAAATGTTTCGAAAGGCTATTATGGGCATTCTCTCCGATCCTAACTCACCGGACTACAAGAAAATCCTTTCAGCTATTTTCTCCCAGCCAGCGAGAAAATTCGAAGACATCGCATGGGATATGGACTCTCGCGGAACACCACCCGCTGCCGAAGTGTTGCTTCAAAGTCTAGTAAAAGAGAAATTGACATCGATATTCCGGAAACACGGCGCTGTTGAGACGACACGTAGCTCCCTATTCCCACGTTCTGAACACTATCCCCCAGGGGTGGTTCGTCTTTTGGATCCTGCAGGCAACCTTGTTCAACTGCCCTACGATCTCACCCTTCCGAATGCTCGCTCCGTACCTAGATTAGACTCGTCCATCGAAAAGATCTTCACTTTTGGCACCGTCTACCGGGAGTCTATACACGGAGGAGCGCCGCGTGGTCACCGTGAGGTTGACTTTGACATGATATCACATAACACTTTGGATCTGGCACTAAAGGAAGCGGAAGTCATTAAGGTCTTAGACGAGATTTTGAATGAATTCCCTTCCCTGAGATCTGCCCCAATGTGTTTCCACATTAACCACTCAGACCTCCTTGACGCGATTATGTCATTTTGTCGAATCAGCTCCCAACAAAAGCCCCTGGTTAAAGAGGTCATTAGCAAGTTGAATATTGGACCGTACTCAATGCAAAAGATCCGTAGTGAGCTTCGATCTCCAACTGTCGGGGTCGCGTCTACATCTGTTGACGACCTTGCCCGCTTCGACTTTCGAGGTTTGTTCCTCCATACTGACTCCCTTCTTAGACCTGACATTTTTTAATGCCAAATAACAGATAGCCCAGACAAAGCCTTAAAACGCCTTCGTACAATCATGGAAGGAACGGAGTTTGCAGACCGCCTCGCTCCGATATTCGCCCGTCTAAACGCCGTGGTGTCGTATCTAAAAGGATTCCGTGTGAAGAGAAAGATCTACGTAAACCCCCTGAGCAGTCTTAACGATAAATTCTTTCGTGGCAGTGTTCTCTTTCAATGCGTTTCCGACACAAAACGACGAGATGTCTTTGCGGCCGGAGGACGATACGATAGCCTCATTCAAGAATTCCACCCTAAGGTTCTATATTCAGGCAACCAACGTCATGCCGTCGGATTCAACCTCGGATGGGAAAAACTGTGCCTCTCAATGTCGAACTATTTGAAAGGGTCAAATAAAGCTTTCCTTAAACAGGGAGAGGCGGAAATAAGCGGAATCTGGCGGGCAAGACGGGTAAGTTAAACCTTCTTTGGGGGGGTGTTCAGGCTTGGCATATTCTGATTTGAAATAGTGTGATGTTCTCGTCGCTAGTTTCGATGCTACAGTCCTTCGTACTGTGGGAGTTGGCGTCGTTCAGGACCTGTGGGCGCATGAAATTAGTGCTGAACTTTCCGTTGATGCTTCCTCATTGGAGGAGATCCTTGCGCGGTATAAGAATGATAACCATAGCTGGGTCGTGATCGTCAAGCAGGATAGCATGGACCGGGGACTGAAAGTGAAGAATATTAGCACCAAAGAAGAGTTTGAGGTGAGAAGCTCTGAATTGGCGGGGTGGCTTCGAAGCGAAATCGGCGCGCGGAATCAGCGTGAGCATCTAACAGGTGCCGGCAAACCACTGAAACATCTGTACCATCAAGAATCCAACAATTCGGTCAGAGAGAAAGACCAGGACGTAAGGATTTTAGTAGCACTCCACCGGAGCAAGAAAACGAATAGGCGAAACATCATTGAGGCCGGTATGTTTGTTCCCATTGAAAAGACTACGTACCCTTGGTGCAAGGAACTATTGTTCTAACAACCCCTTTTTCCTTCTAATAGCAATTCGCGAATCACGCAACGTGATGGATAGAGCGCTTGACGGACCTATTGCGGCTATTGACACTCGAGATGAGGTTTTGGAAGCCCTCCGGGATACCCGTCTTTCAGACCCCGACAGGTGGCGGACAGTGATACAGAACTGCCCGCTGACAGAAAGGAAGTATATGGCTCAGGTCCTCGAAATGCTCAACGACCTTGCCAACGAGCGCCGAGACCCTCAGGATGGGAAGGAAATCTATAAGAATGCGTTTATTTACAACTACCGCACCGGCAGTTGTATCTATTATGATCTCTCACGTAGTAATGAGAAATGAGCCATATGAGAGATGAATATTAGTATGAATGAGCTATGAATGACATGATAGCAGGATACCCGTATATTTCTTTGGTAGCTGAGTTTGCCATGCAGGAGCTCTGTCTCTCACCGTGAGCATTTAATGCTTACTAAAATGAGAAATAGTTCCTCAACGGATTAAAAAAATACTATTGTACAAGCAAAATTGAAAAAAGAGACGTATCAATCGCTATCATCACTGTCATAAGCCACTAGTGGTCCACTGGACACCGGGGCGCTTGGTTTTGTTGTAAAACTCCCCCCCGTAAATCCGTTCAGTGCGCTTAGAGTTGACCCAGATAATATACCACCCCCACTGGTTGCCTGCTGCTGCGGTACTTCTGCTGGAACATCCTCAATTAAACGACCTTCCGCCGGAGGTTCGATTTGCTGAGTTGCTTTCCCTTGCTCCAATTCCCTGGTGCGAGCATACCAAACCTCGTCAGGGGGTTCGTAGCCACTAAGCCCAAAACTCCCCTCAATCTTCTTCCGTTTCCTCGCCTCAGGATCTCTCCCTTCCAACTCCGCCACAAACTCCGCAGGCAGGGCCTTCCTGACTGCCTCCGCTGCCTGCTCCTCGATACGCTGCGCGTCCCGCTTCTGCGCCAGCGGGTTCGGATCAACCGTCGCCCACCGCACATTGAGCACCTCATTATGGTCCAGGCTCTGATGCGACATCGCCTCTTTAGCGAACTGAGAATTTGCTTCGTTCGTATATGTCACGAACGCCACGCCTCGAGAATTGAGCACGCGGATGCGCTCCACCTGGCCCCATTCGGCAAAATGTCTCGCGACGATCTCCTCAATGTCATCCGAAACGTGTATCCGGCCGATATACAGTGTTCTGTTCTGCCTCATAAAGCTGCCCACGCCACCCATGTCATCTCGGTAATCGCTGTGTTTATCGCGGCCGAAACAGTCGACGTTCGGATTGAACAAGTCATGCAGGCCCGGGAGACGGTGTAGGTAGTCGCACTCGTGGCCCTTGGGGCATAGGCCGCGCGCAAAGAAGAGACAAAAGTATGAACCGCGAACCTTATCTGCGCGCGTGTAGCCGCTGTCGCGGGCTATGCTGCAACGTGAAGGGGCAGGTTCTTGTGAGAGGTATTTGTCCTCGCGATCGCCACCGGACCATTTGTTGTACCAGATGTTGAAGATCGTGCCTGTTTGGGGTGGGGGTTCGGATTTTACTGTAGCTGGGTCGACTTGAGGTCGGGCTGGCCTTCGCTTTCGGCGGATTATCTTTTTTGTCTTCTTTTCGGCGTCTGTTGGGTCTTTAGTGGTGGTCGTGAGGGAGGTGTCTGCGGGATTGGCGACGGCGAGATCTGTGGAGGGTGCAGAAGCTTCTCCTTCTTGTGTTATACTATCTGGCCCGGGAGAGGTAGAAGGAGCCGTAGGCCGCGGCATAGTAGCTGTTTCATCCATAGCTGAAGATGTGATCGCGAGAGGGATGTTGGTTTTGTTTATGTTGAAGCTGAAGATATCAATCAATCTGGAGGTCTCGAAAAAATTAGATTATGTAATCACAAAAGCTGACCACCATCGTCCCGCGATATGAGCTAGTTACGCTTTACGGTGCTGGGGAACGACTTTTCTTCTAGACCTGTTCCTTATTCAATAGTAAATCATCCCTTTCGAGCTTATTTAGGAGTCGTTTTGCACCCAACAAGGGTGTCCATCTGCAAAAATGGTGAACATCACAGAGAAAATTAAAGAGTGAGCGAGCATTTACACCCCCCCGATAGCCAAAACCTCGATTCAATGAACGGTCGGTCTAACCTGGTGGTGTTGGATATTTGTATAGGATTGAGGAGGAGATGCGCAGGACGCAGAGTGAGTTCTCTTTTTCTTCTTTCTAAATAGGATTATCGCTGACTTTTCAATGAACAGAGAATAAGGCAACGGGTTTGTGGAACTATTCAATTTAATGGCCTGCGTGTTAGCAGTATATTAATGGGCCAAAATCAAATTTCAGAATACCATCTAGGTCTGCTAAAAGGGTATGTGCTATGTATAGAATATTGTACCTATCCGTTGAATTGATTTATTTGCAGAGGAAAGTGTTATTCCACATGTGAAAACCGCCTCTCGAGATAAAATACCCTGTTACTACACCTTGGCCTGGACAACGAGCATCAAGGTTGTCTGTTTAAGCCGGTTGTAATTGCTTGTTCCTCCTATTCTAGAGACAGGAAGGCGGCTTTGTCTGCATTCCATCCACCGCAGAAGTTCCCAAAACAGTGTAGCCATACATATGACTAACTCCGTCTCCCCAGAAAGCTTGCACGATTACGAGCACAGCTGCTCGAGCCTACAGGTGGAGCGGGATCTGGTGGTGGCTCGGGTTTCGATGTGAGCAAGAGTGGTGATGCTCGAATAGCCCTAGTGGGATTCCCATCTGTGGGCAAGTCGACTTTTTTATCAAAGATTACGAAGACGAAGAGTGAGGTTGCGGCATACTCCTTCACGACGCTCACGGCGATTCCTGGAGTTTTGGAGTACGGCGGCGCCGAGATCCAGGTCCTTGATCTGCCTGGTATTATTGAAGGTGCTGCCGAGGGTAAGGGGAGAGGGAGGCAAGTCATATCTGCTGCTAAGGTATGTTTTTCCTCCTGGTCATTTTTCTTGGATTTCTTTTTTATGTTATTCTATTTTGTTTTGGTTCTTCCTTGAATATACGAACCCTGGATATCTAATAAAACCTCGACTCTTAGACTAGCGATCTAATAATGATGATTCTTGACGCTACGAAACGTGCCGAACAGCGGGCGCTTCTGGAAGCTGAATTAGAGGCAGTTGGGATCCGGTTAAATCGGGACCCCCCGTGAGTTACTATTGCATTTAAACGCGGTACCTCTACTTTGCTTTGTTTAAAACTATGCTAATACAGGTGAATATACATTATTCGTTGACAGAAATATTTACCTGAAAGTGAAAAAGGCAGGCGGGATGAAAATCACATTCCAGTCACCGCCCAAAAATCTGGATGAGAAAATGCTCTATAATATTTTACGAGACTACAAGATTTTGAATTGCGAAGTTTTAGTCCGCGATGAAAATGGTACGTTTTCCAGGTTATGGAATTGCTTTCTTTGCTATATTCCGCTCCTAGTTATCCTATCCTAGAGGCGAGGGAAATTGACAGTATCTCCCTTAGCTACGGTTGATGACTTTATCGACGTGATTATGAAGGACCACAGGAAATATATTAAATGGTATTTTTCCATCCCTTGAGTTCGTTTACAAAAACCGTGTCATCTGTCACAAACTAACATACTTTTTCTCGGCTCTCAGCCTTTACGTCTATAACAAAATAGACAGCGTCAGCCTGGATTTCCTCGACAAACTTGCCCGTGAGCCCCACACGTGCGTTATGAGCTGCGAACTGGATCTGGGTATTCAGGATGTGATTGATCGGTGCTGGCAGGAGTTGCAGCTTATGCGGGTGTATACCAAGCGGTAAGTTCTCTTTTCGCCCTGTCCATAACTACGCGTGATGTGGTGGGTGCCTTGGGAATTCAATTGGTAACTATGCTGACAATTGCAACAGAAAGGGCGACGATCCCGACTTTTCAGAGGCATTAATTGTGCGCAACAATTCTACCATTGAAGACGTGTGCGATCAGATCCATCGGACGCTGAAGGATAACTTTAAGTATGCTTTGGTTTGGGGGGCCAGTGCCCGACATGTCCCACAGCGGGTGGGGCTGGGGCATGTCGTTGCGGATGAGGACGTTGTGTCGATAGCTACAAAGTGAGAGGAAAAGCATGTACGGAGGACTCCCTAATGCAGACAGAGATAGACTGTTCCTGAAGTGACAGCCATAACAGTAATAGTAGTAGAAGTAGTATTTACATCATCCTGTACCAAGTCTTCGATACTGCCCCTCGGTTTCTTTAACTAATATAACCGGATGCCTCCGAATCGGGCCAATTAGGGCTTCTGATTAGGGCTGGATCCCGGGTTTGGATGCAGAAACATCAGAGCAAAGACAACGCTGTTCAGATTCAAAAAAATACCACTGACCAACCAATTATCAAGGGGAATATCCTTTACTATTAGAGAGATACCTTTTCAATATAATAAAGACCCTGCCTGACCCAAAGAGGAGATTAGCTATCAGCCTCGGAATCGCCGCAGAGCTATGTAACCCCAACCTGGTCCGCGATGGAAGCTTCTCGAAGCTTCTATTTGAATTGAGTTGCTCCATGATGCAACCGGTTTGCGTGTTGCTGCTGCTATGCTATCATAGCGATGACTACTCCGTATCCAAGTATCAACTTGCAATCCAATAATAATAACTATTCCGTGGCGGAGACCAAGCCAAGGCTGAGCGGGACAACAAGCCCCAAGATTCGAACAACGTCACGTCACTGATTTCCCCCAAAAAACGATTCAACTACATAACCTGCCGCCATGCTAGCTAGATGAGTTGCCAATTCTGAAAAATAATACGGAGTACAACCACAACTACTACCACAGCTACCAACTTCAATCCCCAGCATCAATCACCTCACCACGACAATATAAACGACTACAATAATAATAACCATCGTGCTTGCATGACCCATATCTGTGCCCATTTGATACATCCACACACATACACAGACACACACTACACCACCCTCCTACCTACTATCTCTTCATCTCTTACTTTGATTCGAGACATAGCATAGCGGTGTAAGGGTAAGCAAGAGAACTCCCATTTGCCTCTTGGGTTCTTTGATCCTTCCCTGGCTCGCAGTTCCCGTCTATATCCAATACTTGCATGCATAAATTGCACCCCTCCGCCAAAAGAAAAGCCAATCTGACACCATATAACCAGTAGTCCTCAACCAGGAAATCCCCTCCAATCGATCGTTCCTCTCCTCTCCCGATCCGATCCGTCTATTCAAAACATTAACACACCTATTCTTCTTTCTCATATCCTCTCTCCTCTAGCCGACACTCTTTCTTTCCTCAATTAGTTGACTCAGCTTAACAAACATGGTTGCGGAAACGAAACTATATGACTCACTGAATATCTCCCCAACCGCTACTCAAGATGAGATTAAAAGGGCCTATAAGTATGTCTTTTCGTTTCCTCCCGTCACCTATCACATAGAGTATAATATTTCCTGGAATCTTTTTTGGGCTATACTCCGGAGTTTTATATATTTTTATTTATTTAATTTCAACTGTTCAGTATGTTTTGAATTTTGAAGGTTCCACCTCTGCTGACGTTAGATAAAATCCAACAACAGGAAAGCAGCACTGAAATTCCACCCGGATAAGAATAAGAATAACCCAGATGCTGTAGAGAAATTTAAAGGTATTTTCTTTTTTTTTTTTTTTTTTTTTTTTTTTTTTTTTTTTTCTTTTCTTTTCTCTTTTTTTTTTAGCAAGGCAACGGGGCGAACCAAGTTCTGCGCAAAATGATTTCTTGAAGTCGAAATACAGGCTGAAACAAATTTATTATCATACAGAGGTATCCCAAGCCTACGAAGTCCTGTCCGACCCCGAAAAACGAAAAGTATACGACCAATATGGCCTTGAATTCCTACTGCGCGGGGGTACCGCAGAGCCTCCTCCTGGCGCTGGCGGGCCGGGCGGAATGCCCTTCGGAGCTGGTGGAATGCCCGGTGGTTTCGCGGGCTTTGGAGGCATGCCCGGCGGTGGTGGTACGCGAACATTCCACTTCTCCACAGGCGGCGGCGCCGGTGGATTCCACTTCAGCAACCCGGAGGATATCTTCTCGAACTTTGCCCGCTCGGGTGGCGCGGAGATGGAGGACGACGACCTGTTTTCGATCTTGGGCGGCTTAGGTGGTGCGAGGGGAGCTGGCGCACGGCGTAAAGGTGCTGCGAATGGGGCGCGGAGGGCGCCCACGCCAGAGGTTACGACGGTGGAACGGC